TCCCCCCAGCCCGAGATACACCAGTCAAATCTTGGTATTTGCTTATTGTTCATCCGTGTTCTTGCTTGAGGGAGCAAGTTCTTGCTTGAGGCCACTGGCTTCATCTTCAATCTTCTAAAGGTTAGCAACTTCTTCTTTTAATCTTTCATTGCTAATAATGTAGATCGTTTCATGCTTTAGTAATAAGCATAGAAATATTCAAATATGTGGTTTTTTAATTAGGAATAATAATGGTGGATTTTATTTTTATTTATACATCATTTCTACATAACCTTAAACATTTCTTGTTTTCTAGATCTTTGTTAGCAATATTATTTCTCGATGAGAGTTAATAATTGTTTAACAAAATTATGTGCAAAATGTTTAAGTTTACTTGGCATGCATATATATATATATATATATTGATGATTTATTGGTTATATGTTTCTCTAATATATATTGTTGCATGGTATATTTATATGGGGGTTCTATATTTATTGGGATGTTTTTTCCGTTTTTTAGTTACGATGAATGGCGGCGGACTTCCCCAGCCACAGGAATCAGGTTTTCACCCTGGCAATCTTCCATTCGCGCCATCGTCAGATAGGGCCGTTCCGTGTTACCTAGACCCATCAATAGAATAGACTATTTTAAGTTTTGCGTGCTAATATAATTTTGCATATATACATTCATTCATAATATGATTGTTGCATATGTCACATACCATAAAACCGATCAAGTGGCTGGAAGCAGCACTATGACTGCTCGGGGTGTGGGACATCTTCGAGACGACGACAAGTGAGGTCGTGGATGATGAAGGAGGCGAGTTATGGACATGCAGTCTCGCCTTCGACATCCCCATTAGGTACAATAATGAGGTGCGCCAGGACATCGACCAAGATAGGCGCCCAGATCGATGTCGTGCTGCTTTCTTTGCAGGTAATTGAGCGAATTGGCTACCGTATGCCTGATTTCTCATCCTTAAAGATAGAAGCTTTACGTGAGCACAGTCTGGATATGCCACGAGTAAGCGAGAGGCATGCGACATTCAACTATACAGATGTGGTACGTCATGTATGATATGAGAGTCATGTTTATTTATTCTTATTATTATATGAGCGCTTCCTAAAATTTTTTGTTTGTCCAATTGTAGGTTTTGCTCTATGATTTCACCTATGCTACATGTGGCTTGCAGCCCATTCTCACGCAAGCTCTTAAGCGACTGGGGTACGCCTAGGACTTCGTGGAAGCGATGGACCAGAGGACGACAGCTGGCATCTAGTATTGCCTGAGATTTAGGCAGAACCAGGCCATCGATAGTCCGTCAGTAAGCTACATCTATGGAATGCCATGTCCTCGGTGTTGTGAGGCAATAGAGAGTGTTGTAGTGCGGGACTTGTATTACATAGATAATGACTGTGGTTACACAATCCGAGACATACACTGCTGGATGTGGAGACAAACTAGGGTTGCAGCCGGTTTGTAGAATCCATGTGTTAGTTAGATTTATTCATACTATTATGTTTAATCAGGTTTATTTGAACTGTTATGTACTTTAATTAGGTTTCTTTGTATGGATATTTTAATTATGTTTGTATGCAAGTTAATTATGTTTCTTTAGGTTTATCTGTTTGGACATCATAATTATGTTTGTATGGATTGTAAGGTTCTCTAAGATTTTTATTATTGTTTTGGTCATTTTTTCGTCCGACAAAGTCCTAGTCAACATTGTTCACAAATTTACATCTCTCACTTTTAGTGAGAGATGTAAATTTGTGAACAATGTGCAATACCACTTTGTTGGATGGAGAAATGACCAAAATAAAAGTTGTATATCTCGAAAAATTACACAACTTTGTAGTTGACAATTTTTTAATTTGAAATCATTTTGTCAAGGAAAACTATGTTTGAATTTCTAAAATTTGAAATTTGAATTTTTAAAATGTACTCAAATGGAGAAATGACCAAAACAAAAGCTGTAGATCTCGAAAAATTATGCAACTTTGTAGTTGACAACTTTTTTATTTGAAATCATCTTGTCAAAGAAAACTATGTTTGAATTTCTGAGATTTGAAATTTGAATTTTTAAATTGTAAGTATAATTTACAGCATATGTTATTAAACATTTAAAGTATGAGACAAAAGCATTATAAATTGTATATGAAAGCAAATTTGTATTGCAATTTTTTTAGCTATATTTTTTTACTACGCAATTTCTAATTTTCAGCCTATTTATGCTAAAGGACATGTTATAAACTGTTGCATGGGTGGGAAACGAAACCGCCGGGTAGGCAGTAGTTTCACCGCCAAAATTTGGCTTTAGTCCCGGGTTGGGCCACCAACCGGGACTAAAAGACCTCTAGTCCCGGTTAGAGGCCCAACCCGGGACTGAAGGTTACTTGGGACTGAAGGTCAAAACCTTCAATCTCGGGTTGGGCCTCTAACCGGGACTAGAGGCCTTTTAGTCCTGGTTGGTGGCCCAACCAAGGACTAAAGGTACCAACCCTACATATACTCGTGTCTTCTCTTCTTCTTTCTCCTTTCAAGCGCCACCGGATTCGCGCCGCAACACCCACCGTGCACCGCCCGTCTGACCTTGCCCTCTTCTCCGGCTTGCCTGGCGGGTCATCGTCCTCGTCGTTGGCTCCGGCGTGCGCAGTGGCGCCCACATCCTCGTCCTCCATCGACCGGCCAGCATCCTCGTCCTCGGCTCCGGCACGCGTGTGGCTCGCGCCCTCTTCTCCAGCACGTGCGGCGGGCCCTCATCCTCGTCTCCCTGGTGCGCCCGGCCACGCCCTCGTCCTCGTCCTTCAGCGGCTGGCCGGCCTCGCCCTCGTCCTCGGCTCTGGCGTGCGCGGCACCCTCGTCCTCCTCTCCGGTGCGCGGGGCCACTCCATCGCCCTCCTTGTCTCCGGCCAGCGCCTTCACGTCTTCAGCCTCGCCCTCATCTCTGGTAGCGCCTTCGTTTGCGGCCTCGACATCGTCTCCGCCGGTGCCTTCTTCGTCTGCGGCCTTAGCCTCGAACTTCGTCAGCCACTAGGTGGTAATACTCGTTGCCAACCCCTTGTCATCCCTTCGTGTTGTATGAAACCGGGCTTGGAAAGATGCTGAATTTTGATACATAGGATTTATTGATGTGAATTTTGGTATACATAGACTTATTAAAAAATTGACTTCAGTGATATACATATATGAATTTTGATATATTGACGTGTTATGCATTTTGATATATTAACCTTAGTGATATGAATTTTGATATATAAGGTTTATTGATGCGAATTTTGATATATATTGACTTATGAAAAAATTGACTTCAGTAACATACTATATATATGAATTTTGATATATTAACTTTATTGTTTATGCATTTTGGTATATGATAAATATTGACTACAGTGATTTGAATTTTGATATATAGGGTTTAGTAATGTGAATTTTGATATTTGTAGACTTATGAAAAAATTGACTTTAGTGATATGCATTTCCGTGTATGAAAAATATTGTCTCCAGTGATATGATTTTTGATATATTGACTTTAGTGAGAAGAGATGGCTGAACGTCGTCTCCCTCCGCCGGAAGTCATAGGTTTCAGTGGCTATGTAACGTGGATGGGATTCGAGCCAGTGTTGCCGGATGTATTGTTTAATCATCCAAGCATAGTAAGTAACTCTATATGTTTCCAATAAATTAATGTGTCAAATACGCTTGTATAAATATATTTTCTGATATATATATATATATATATATATATATGTGATTCTTAAATGTACGGTATGTAATTGACCCAATCATTTGGATTAAAGAGACACTCTCAAATTTTGGGGTTCAGGAAGTGGTTGTTCAGACCTTTCAGGTAGATAATGGTCCATTAATTCAATGTCGAATTGGCTTTTCCATCGCCGTTAGGAGGGGTAGAGGTGTTGTACAAATCTCAGAGATGGGAATAAAGGCACCCAAGCAGACTGTTGCACAAAAATATGCTGTCATTGCATGCGTAACTAAGCTTGCGAATATTGGGTACACCCTGCCTATACTATCCTCCGTGCTAATACAAGCTATAAATGTGGACATGCGTCATGATGTTGAGGGCTTTTGTGCAAGCATTGCTCGGAACAACCGAAATGATGTGGTAAAGTCGAAGTCGAACTGATAGCTTATATCTAAATTTGTTGTTATATGTTGCAAAGCTTGGTTTTCGTAATCTTTTTTTTCTGCCAACACTTACAGGTTGAGGACTACGACTTAACCTACAAAGGGTGCAGTTTTGAAGCTATTCTAAACTAGACAATGTATCAATTGGGTTATGATTGGAAATATACTCATGAATGACCAACACTCACTATGGAAGGATTTCAGGCAATGCTGCTTGCGACTAACAGGGGAGACCCACCGACTTCTCGAGCACCGTTAAACGATGTTAGTAGACCATGTACTCGTAGTTGTGAAGCAAGGGAGAGTGCACTAGTTAATGCGTTGGTCTTCATCAATAATATTTTTGGATATCACATCGGTGACCTACATACACTTCACCGAATTGAAACTACGAGAAAGACAACTTCATTAGGTAGTAGTGGTGACATACTATGTTTGTATGAACTTTGGGGAGTACTTACATGTAGTGTGTAATGACTTGGTTTAAATTTATTATGATTTGTATGAAATTTGACTGTGGGATGCATGATCATTGTAATATACAACATCACTCTTAATATGTACGTACAATATTCAATGCAAAGAAACTGTAAAGGAAAAGAGACAATCAGTCCGAGGTGTAATACGTGGCAGCTCTGGGGCTCGGGCTGGAGCCATCTTTACTCCCGATTGGTATTACCAACCGGGACTAGAAGTCCTAAATCAATCCCGGTTGAGAGGACTGGGACTAAAGCCGGACCTTTAGTCTCAACCAGGACTAGAGGGGGGGGGTGTTTGCCAACCGAACTGAAACCCACTCCTTTACTAGTGAAGACGGAAAATGAATCTTTCGGTAGGTTTAAGGGCTTACTTGATGCGATGTGTTTGCATTACGGGTTGCCCGCCTTCCCTCCGCGGCACAAGCAGCCCAGGAATACCCTGTGTTGGCTATAGGCGCATTGCCCGTACGACTCCTCGCACTGCTGACACCCATCCTCTGTGATACGGCTCCAATCCAACTCGAACCCACGCTTAAGCACGTTTCCGTATCCGCCGCTTGTGAAGTTGATCTGGTTGCTTTCTGCCATCAGAACATCGCCTCTCAGTGGCACGGTGACAACCTTGCTGCAGTTCGTAGCCAATTCGTGCACCAGGTACCTTTCAAGCTCACCAGGCATGAGCACGAAGGAGTCTCCTGGGCCAGCATCTGGAGGACTCTTGAACCCCGTGCATTTGATTTTGAATGTGTAAAAATCAGGTGCCACGGGATCGCGTGGGTCACAGCCGAAGAAGAAGGTGAGGCTGTCGTTGGAGCTGGTGTTATGCATCCATGTCTTGTCGAAGCTGATTTGGTGGCGGACTGCGGGGCAGTTGCCGCCTCCGAGGAGCACATCGCTGTCCACCAGTGAGATGGTGTGATGGTCGCGTAGCCGTAGGAGATGCTCTCGACGGTGTAGTCGTCGCCGCCAAGACGGATGGTAGGGGTCCAGGTCTGCCCCTTGAGTTTGCAGGAAATGCTCAAGTCGGTGTAGCCGCAAGAGTAGTTCCCGCTGTGATCGGCGGTTGCTTCGGTTGCGCTGGCAAGATAGAACGGGTAGCGGATTTCGACGCCGCCGCACCAGAATGATTCCGAGCAGATGGAGATGTCGTAAGTGCTCGGAAGAGGGTCGCCATGGGTGGAGTGGACATAGACGGTGAGGAAGACGAAGAGGAGGACGGGGAGACGTGGTTGGTGAGCTGCCATGGCGGGGAGAAGACGAGGTGGGTTCACGGCTTCACGCTCATCTGGCTGTTTTGTTCGCTCCAATTGGGCACGCGCGCGTTTGGTTTCTCACTTTCTTGTGAGTTGTCAGTTGTGACTTATAGGTCCCGTGGACTTTGACCGGGTTTCCGCGAAGGCTGGTTGGTGGTGGGCCGGAGGTGGTGCAGGACTGCAGGTCTGCAGGAGATACTCCAACCAGCCGATATGATTGACAATTTGACATGGAGGTGTGGGACGCTGGGAGGATCTGACCAGGACGGTATGCGTCTTGTAGTCGATGCTGAATACTACGTATCTGTGGGACCTGACGGGGAGGATCAGCGTCGAGTTGCCCTCGCAGACAAGGCCGATCCCGGCGTAGCCACAGTCGGCGGGCGCGGAGGAGTTGTTGAGCCAGGATGGGTAGTGGGTGTCGTGGCCGGCGCACATGGCTTTGCTGCAGGAATCAGGAATAGCGTCCGCTGCGGCGAGGAGGAGCTGGACGGGGAGTAGGAGAAGGAGCAGAGCCCCAAGGAGGGAGAGACAAGTGATGGAAGTTAGGCTGACACCGACCGGTTCTTCGACTTGGATGTGGAAATTTTGACATGACTGAGCCGCAAACGAACAGTCGGCAGCTGATTGCGCCTTGGCACGGCCTGTCGTCCTTACATCTCCTTCATGGCACATAGTCGAGACGATGCAATTTTAGGTGTTGTTTGGATCACCAGTCCAAGGACTAAAGTTTAGCCCCTAAAGTTTAGTTCTGCTAGGTTGTTTGGATCCATGGGCTAAACTTTAGTCCTCTAATCTATAATAACTGATTTGCCCCCTCCAAGTCTCCTTCCTCGCACGCTGCTGCTGCCCATGAGAGCTCTCGCCATGGGCAGGCCGTGGGCACGGACGAGGAGGACATCGTCGCGCTGCTGGTGGTAGGGGAGGGCGGCGCTGCAAACTGGATCTGCCGCGGATGGCCACCGCTCCGGGGTGCTCGGCCACCGAGATGGAGGAGAGGGAGAGGGCGCCAGCAAGTTGTGGCAGGCGGGGCGCTCGCGGGGGCGCACGTGGCCATGGCGAGGCGGGGCGCGCAGGCGGGGGCGGACTCCGGTGAGCTGTGCCAGGGCAGGGCACCTCTCGCGCCCACGTCGAGCCGCCGCCGGAGATGAGCCCGCGCCGGAGCTGGCCGCTGCAGGGGCAGCGCCTGCCTCCCTTCTTCCCCTCCTCTTCCCTTCCTCCATGGCCGCAAGGGCGGTGGCGGTGTCAGCGGCGTAGGAAGCGCGGCGGCAGGGAGGGCAGATGTGAGCGAGAGGGAGAGAGAGAATGGGGAACGAGGCAGGGTCGGAGCAATTATTGAGGGGCAACACTTGTCCACTGTGCACTTTAGTCACTTTTAGCCTAGTTTAGGGCCTTTTTGGGAGCAAAAGATTTTAGCCCAGTTTTTAGCCATTTGCTCACTTTTAGCCCCCGTGTTTGAATCCCCTGACAAAAAAAAAAGACTAAAAATACAGGGCTAAAGTTTTGCCATGGAATCTAAACCTGCCTTAATTTGTCTATGCATTACAATCCACGCTATGGTACACGCTTCAAACGACGCAGATTCCTCCTGTCCTCTGTCATGTCCATCTTCCGCATCTGCCAGTCCATCCACACCACTATGGCGCGTCAGTCAGCAAATCCCACCGCAGGCACGTGCTTAGTGTACAAGTACACAGAAGAGAATCAGTGCTTGCAGCAAGTCTCAAGTCTGAACAAAGTACTCTAACACCATCATACAGCACTATCTGAATCGCAAGCTTTGCCGAGTGCCAATAACTTTGCTGAGTTTTTTTTATCTTGGGCACTCGGTAAAGGCTGTCTTTGAGTGCCCAAACTCCAACACTCGACAACGACACAACCCTCGGCAAAGTTGGTCTTTGCCGAGTGCTCAGTTTCAGCACTCGGCAAAGACGTCCTCTTTGCTGAGTGCTCAGACATGCCACTCGGCAAAGACTTTCTTTGCCGAGTGTCAACGTCTCACACTCAGCAAATTTTGGCCCGCCGTTAAACCAGCCTGCCGCCGTCAGCTCTTTGCCAAGTGTACAAATGCAACCCTCGGCAAAGAGGCTCTTTGTCGAGTGTCAAAGCAGACACTCGGCAAAGTATAAATTTTTTTTGACAACTGCACTTCAAAATTTTTCATCTCTCCACATACCACATTTGGTACTCCATGCTTAAGTTTGGTGTATTTTTGAATTTATTTGCTATATTTAACTAATTAATTGCATTTCAAGCAATTTTTTGAATTAAGTTAAATTTGAATTGCAAGTGATTCAAATATTTGAAAAAAATGAGTATAAAATTAATATTCATGTTATTCAACCCAGTTTGAGGCCTTACCTATAAGATTATAAGGGTTTTTGAACATCTTATTTCGGAAACACGACCCCGAGCGTGTGGTTGAATGGTTTTTAAATTCTATAAAAAGCAAAGGAAGTCCGAAAATCATGAAATTTGATAAGATGTCAAGATATCATATGTGGAGGCTGTGGTAAAAAATTGAGAAGGCGTCACATAAGTTGTCACATACATTGCTTACAAACCGAAACATCTCCAAAGAAGTTTCATGATTGTTGAGAATGATCCGGTAAGATTTGGAGTGAAAGTGATGGTCAAGTTGTGGTTTGACTCCAAAACTTTTTGTATAGCCAATAGACATCAAAGATCATGTCATGTTAAATTTTAGCGATTTTTTGGATCCATTTGATAATTATTAATTTGTAATTGCAATTATATAAATGGAATCTGAGCTATAACTACATGAAATCATGGTCTATTTTCCGCTGAAGCATCAAATTTGCATTGTTGAGTGAATTTGACAAGGTATTTTCAAAGTGTATTGGGACAAATTTGACAAGGAAATAGAAAAGTTTTTTTAAAAAAATACCTTTGCCGAGTGTCCTAGGGTTCGCACTCGGCAAAGTATAGTCTTTGCCGAGTGCCTTATCGGCTTGACTCTCGGCAAAGATTTTTAATGTTTTTTTTAAAAAATCCCGGCTTTGCCGAGTGCCGGATCGCGGACACTCGGCAAAGGCCTGACCCAGGAATTAACTGCCACGGCCGAGACTCACTCACGCACGCACGCTCACCGCCCCTGCCAGAGTGCCAGCGCCGCCCCCTCACTCCCTCACCACGACCTCTACAACCTCCCCTCCCCTCGCTCCATCACCGCCCCTGCCAGCGCCGCCCCCCGCCCTGCAAGACATCCTCGCGCCGCCGCGCCTTCTCCCGCGCTGCCCCGCTCGTGCCCGCCTGCCGTGCTCGCGCCCGGCGCGCTCGCCCGCCGGCCGCGGCCCCGAAGCCGCCTCCACCGGCAAAGTTTGGCCCGTCGATCGCCCCCGTCACCGCCCCGCACGCCACCCCGCCCGCAACGCTGCGCCTGGGCGCCACCCCACGCGCGCTCGCCCACCCACGCCGGCCGCTCCCGCCAGCGGCCCGCCGCCTAGACTCGTCTCGCCTGCGGCCGATCTCCTCCATCCGCTTGCCGCGCCGCCACCCGGAGAGGAGACTAAGCTCGGTCGAGCACCACCTGGGGCCCAGCGTCCTCGCGACCATCTCTGGCACGGCGTCCGGCCTCTGCAGCCCCGGTAATTCATAGGCAACTAATGGAATGGTAACAATACATCAGTTCCCTTTTATCATTAAAAATAATTTCATCTTTACCTCAAACTACAACTTTGGATCTCAAAATCCATTCGATATATATGCCTTACGAAGTATTGAACTAATCATGATTTTAAGAAGACAAAAACTATCATGTACAGCTACTTGTGTCATAATAAAACGAGTAGCATAAAAAAAGAATAAACCAGTCTTAGATCAACATGCATACCTTTGTATTATGCAACTATACAAATTGAAGTGATTTTTAAATTTTCATAGCCAGCAACAGTATTAAAATCACCCTGTGTAAAAATCACCCCGTTACCTTGTATATTGGGTGAATACTGTGCCATGTCATACTTTACAATTTAGAAAACCAATGGTAGATAAGTTGAGGTATTTCTTGTTGAAAACAATTTTCCAGGGTGCCAATTTTTTTGGAAAATCATTTGTATTTCCTCTTCTACAAACGCCCCCCTCTTCCTTTTTCCTTTTGTATTTGTATTTCCATGCTTGCGGCTGAACTGTATTTTGCCGATCTTGTTTTAGCTTTATAATCAGTATTTCAGTGCATTGGAAAATACTGGTTTGGTTTTGTAATGCATGGTCATTTCATGATTTGTGTAAGATCAATGGATTTCTGCAAGCCACTGCCTACTGGACATAAATAAATACACTTAAGTCCTGGATATGTAGGCTTGAACTTGAGATATGGCGAGCAACATGCATGGACTCACAAGTCGGGCTTGGAGAGGCTCCCCTATTTTGATGACCTTCTTCTTCCACATAACATTGATGTAATGCACACTAAAAAGAATATCGCTGATGCACTTTGGGGAACAATCATGGACACTGATAAGTCAAAGGATAACGTTAAGGCTAGAGTGGATTTGGCAACGTTATGCGACAGACCAAAGCAAGAGATGCAGCCTCCTAGAAATGGCAAGAAATGGACTAGGCCTAAGGCCGAATTCATGTTAAGCAGGCCCCAAAGGAGGGAAGTACTAGAATGGTTCCAAAAGTTAATGTTCCCTAATGGGTATGCAGCGAATCTGAGGAGGGGAGTGAACTTATCTACTATGCGAATCAATGGGCTCAAGAGTCATGACTACCACATATGGCTTGAGCGGCTTCTTCCGGTGATGGTTCGAGGCTATGTCCCAGATCATGTCTGGCAAGTGCTGGCAGAGTTGAGCTATTTCTTCCGACAGCTTTGTGCTAAGGAGTTATCTCGGGCCGTGGTTGCAGACATGGAAAAAATGGCACCTGTGTTGCTCTGTAAGCTGGAGAAGATCTTTCCACCAGGCTTCTTCAATCCGATGCAGCATTTGATTTTGCACCTCCCGTATGAGGCACGAATGGGGGGGCCTGTGCAGGGCCGTTGGAGCTATTCAATTGAGAGAACCCTAAAGGTTGTTCGAAAGAAATGTAGAAATAAATGCAAGATTGAAGCTTCCATCGCAGAGGCATCGATTCTGGAGGAGGTGTCAAACTTCACAACAACATACTATGGTGACAACCTTCCTAGCGTGCATAATCCACCCCCTCGTTACAATGCTGGGGAAAATGAATCGAACCTCAGCCTTTTCCGAGGACAACTCGGAAGTGCAAATGGTAAGACCCTCAAGACCTTGAGTCCTGAAGAGTGACACACTATCATGCTATATGTACTGACCAATCTCGAAGAAGTGGAGCCGTACATGGGGTAAGTCACTATTTTCAACAAACTTGTTCTCGACTAGTCACTATTCTGCATCCAACCCCCTTGTTTCTCGTTGGTACAGGGAATTTACTCATGAATTCTGGCATCGATCAAGGGCGCCTACCCCATGGGAATTTCATAGCCTTCTTAAACGGGGTGCGGGAAATGGAAAACCCAATTTCATTTCTTGGTTCAAACGCAAGGTACGTTCTAATTTAGCTCGTACTTAGTTTGACATTACAAGTTGCTCGTACATGCGAATGATATAACGAACTATCCTGCTTGAGCTTGCAGGGCCAAACCGATGCATCTATGAGCACCGAGTTGAGTCAGGTTGCTGGTGGCTGTGCCTTTAGGGTCATGTCATTTACCAGTTATGACATGAATGGATATCGCTTTCACACAACAAGACACGAGCAGAGTCGGCCCAATCGAAGAACCACAAATACCGGAGTTTTCACGCCCGCCCTTGATGGGCTCGATTATTATGGAAGAGTTAAAGAAATATACGAACTCACGTTTCATGGCCGCAAACCTCTTAATCCTGTCATATTTAAATGACATTGGTTTGATCCTAAAAAAATAAGACGGACCCCTAATCTTGGGCTAGTCGAAATTCGACAGGATTCCAAGTACCCAGGAGACGATGTCTATATCGTGGCTCAACAGGCCACACAAGTTTATTATCTCCCATGGGCGTGCCAAGACGACCCGCATCTTAAGGGTTGAGATGTTGTGAACAAGGTATCGCCACACAGTAAACTACCTGTCCCAAACATTGAAGATTACAACTTTGACCCAAACACATATGATGGAGAGTTCTTTCAAGAAGAGGGGCTACAAGGGAGCTTTGTGATAGACATAACCGATCCAGTCAGAATGGAAGTAGACAATGAAAGGGTTGATGATGAGGACGATGGGGATGAGGTTCAAAATGTGAAGGACTTAGAATTACTTCGGTGATTAGAATTAGGCAATGACAGTGATGACAACATTGCTCCTCCGGATGGTCATGATATCAACATGGAAGTAGACATGCATGATAGTGATGATGAGACTTATGATCCAGCTAATACCGATCATGATAATTATTTCTAAGACATGTAATATTATGTTACCTTCTAATTATGTTTTGTTCATTTTGCAATACGTTTTATTTATTTTACATCTCTTTCTAATTATGTTTTATTCATTTTGTATCTCTTTGTAATTGCAGGTGATTGAATAAAGATGCCAGGTGGCGGGGGTCTCTTAAGGAGTTTAAGGAAAGTAAAGTCGAAATACAAGAGGGTGGAGGAGGTAGCTCCTCCGCCACCGCCAAGGAAACAAAGGGGTCGTCAGGCTCCTCCGCCACAGAGGTAGGAGGAGGAGGTGGAGGAGTCCGAGGAGGAGGAGGTGCCCGAGGAGGAGGAGGAGGTGGTGGAGGACGTGCCCGAGGAGCACGAGGAGGCGGTCGAGGATGAGGAGGAGGTGGAGGAGGAGGAGGAGGAGGAGGAGGAGGACGAGGAGGACGAGGCTGAGGAGGCGGTGGGGGTTCCTCTTCCTGTGGTGTAGCGGCAGGGGGCTCCTCTTCCTCTGGCACGGCTAAACTCTATCAACGAGGTCCCTCGCAACTCCCGAAGTGACCGATACCTCTTGAGAGACGCCCGATGGTTCGACCCGGTGGTTCAAAGTAAGTAACTTTACATTCTGTCACTATTTTTTCATTTGTTATGTTGAAACTAATAATTTTTCTTGATCACTTGGGCAGGGGTTTTGTGATTGTGGGTACAGGTGGTCACGGACGCCATCCCAATGGCGTTCTTGGTGTTTTGTGCAAGACACACTTGCCTGGCTTTGTTGACTTTGCCGGAGTGCGGCAGCCGGCCTAGACATTTGCCCACTACGCCGTCTGCGCAGATGCATATGATCGGGATGGCAGGATCTACGGCCACAAGGCAGAGCGGGTGATTATGGAGCTGTGGATAAGTCTTTGTCTCACTACACTGCTCAATTCATCGCATTCATTGGACATTCTTCAAATAATGATAGGATACATTGCGTCTACATACAATATTTCTTCAGATGCGAGCCGGGATGGGAGGTGGCAGCGAGGGCGGTGGCTAACAAAGCTTGTCATAAACTCGTGGGTGACATGCACTACGAGGCGCGCCTCCAGGCCGTCGTGACATACAACGCGACCTTCGAGTTTAGGAAGGTCACAAAAAAAGAGGCAAGAAAGGAGACGCTAAACAAGGAACAATACATGAAGGTAAATATATAAGATTAATACTAATTTTTTCTAAGATTAAATAAGCTTAATTTGATCTACATATACTTGATGTCGTGTAGGTGATTCCGTGGTGGTGCACTGGGCATGAAGACTGCTGGGAGGCAATGGTGGACAAGTGGTGCAGCCCCGAGTGGTGGGAGACGCACAACGCTTGCCGGGAGTGGCATTTGATGATGCCTGGTGCACCACACCATCAAGGCAACCTTTGCCTCCTGGCCTACGTAGCTAAATGGGTACGCTGAATCCATTTCTTTATTCTAAAGCTCAACTATGCAAATTTCTAATAATCCTGCTGTTTCTTTCGCAGTCGGCGTCACATGGTGGCACGCCTATCTCCTAGTTCGAGGTGTGGGCAATGACCCACAAGGGCAAGGCGACGTCCGACGTCCACTACAACCCGGAGGACCCGCCCGAAGCGTACAGCAACTCGTCCGTCCACACCCGCCTCACTGAGTACACAACGATGGCAAGGGAGGTCCATGGGCCAGAGTACGATCCCACCTCCGAGGACCTTGATGGAGAAGTCGTCATGAGGTTGGGAGGAGGGAAGAAGCACAGGCGGTACTGGATTGGCGACGGCGCAATCGACCCGGCCCGTACTAGGTCTCTCTCCGAGATTCGAGCAAGGAGCACGAGCTCAAGCTCGTCCATACGCACACGGCCGGACTGTACACAGCACACGGTGCAGGCACTCAAGGTTATTTCTGTTTTATTCGTCGTTCATTGATTTTTACATACCTTTGCTTTGCGTTGTATCATTGGGGTGAAATATTGTAGGTCGAGGTGGCGGAAGAGAGGAGGCGACGGGAGGAGGCTGAGGCGAGGGCTGAGGAGGATCGACGGAGGATGGACCAGATGTTTCAGTATATTCAAGGTCTTGGAGCTCACTCAGGCTATGTTCCGCCACTAATGATATTCACTCCACCAAATGATCATGCTGTCACTCGTGTGAGTTTCTCTATCTTAAATCTAAATGTGAATGTGGATATGGATATATGAATGTGAATCCAAATGATATGTTGAGACAAATGCACCATGATATGTGAATATGCATATGTGGTTGTCGGTCATCGTACCGTTGTTTTGTTGTAGGTTTTGGACACCTCACCGTGCAGGGGAGGTGCTGCCGAAATTTTGATCTGACACTAATATGTTGTTTTTTTCAAGTTTTTAGAACCTACCTTAAATCTTGTCTCACACATGCAATCACTTCTCTTTTGTGTAGGGGCAATCGGCGGCGTCGAATGATGTTCATGGCACACCTCCAGCTCAGGGCACACCTCCGTCGCAGTGGGACCGGTGGAGTGGCCGTCAACAATAGAGGTAGATGGACTTGTGCTTGTGATGTTTATTTGTGAATGGTGGCACTTGTGGCGGCACTTGGATGATATTTGTGGACTATGTGATACTTGTGGATAACTTGTGATGATATTTGTGGACTATGTGATACTTGTGGACAACTTGTGATGATATTTGTCATGGTTATGGATTATATGTGATGGCTGTGTGATATATGTGATTGTTGTGTGATATGTGATATATTTGTGATGGTTGTGTGATATATGTATGTGTGGATGCAATAAACAAAAAAATGCAAAAAAAGCAAATTTCCCAGCTATGTCGAGTGCAATCACCAAGACACTCGGCAAAGCTGGGAGGCTTTGCCGAGTGCTATGGCCATTGCACTCAGCAAAAGCAGGGAGGCTTTGCCGAGTGCCACAAGTAAAGCACTCGGCAAAGCCTCCCTTCCTTTGCTGAGTGCCACAAGTAAGGCACTCGGCAAAGCCTCCCTGCCTTTGCCGAGTGCCACACTCGGCAAAGAGGGCGGGCTTTGCCGAGTGCCCCCCGTGAGGCGCTCGGCAAAGCGACTGTCACCGTCAATTAGCGCCATCAGGCAGCTTTTCTTTGCCGAGTGGTTTACGGGCACTCGGCAAAGCCTTTGCCGAGTGCTCGACAAAAGACACTCAGCAAAGAGGCCTTTGCCGTCACCGGCTTTGCCGAGTGATCTTTGCCGAGGGTTACACTCGGCAAAGGCTTTGCCGAGTGTATATGGGGATTTGCCGAGTGTCACAGGCACTCAGCAAAGAGCCTGAGTCCGGTAGTGCAGTGTCGTATGAGCTACGAGCACCCCTGTCCAGAAATTCTTATGTAGTTATTATTACATCTATGTTTACAGGATAGAAATAGCATTTGATGCATGCCTTAGTTCTGCATATTATATAGCAAACATTTGCATTTGTGCAACCTGGTAACGCTAGCAACATTTATTAGGAAGATATCTATGCTCGTCAGCTCAAGAGAACTTTGGGTGGCAATTCCAGATTACTTGTGCTTCCTTCCAGCATCTCGACGACTCTAGTCATTGTTAGCCGATCAGTCGGAATCACTTGTATGCACCACAAACCAACCACTATCATCTTTCTCACGAGCTCTGTCATCTCACCATTAATCTCAGAAGCACTGATACAGTAGTCATCCAGATGTTCATAAATCCACTGAGGGAAATATTGACTACTGATTCACTATTTCCACTTGTATTCCTGTGCCTTGCCCCAACCATCTCAAGGACCATCATTCCATAACTATACACATCAGACTTGCTACTTATTATTCCGAATTGCTTTGAGTAAACCTCTGGGGCAATATAACCTATTGTCCCTCTTGCACCAGCAATGGAGATAGCACTCTCTTTATTTAGGCATAGCTTGGCCAATCCAAAGTCAGAGATTTTAGGACAGAAATCCTGATCTAATAGAATGTTATGTGGTTTGATGTCAAAATGCACGATTCGAGTATTGCATCCCAGGTGGAGATATTCAAGTCCTCTGGCCATGCCAATTGCTATGTCAAATAATTTCTCCCAACTTAGTGAATTTCCACTATTCATGTTGCTATTGAAGGCGAAACTTTCGAGCAAACCATTAGGCATGTACTCGTAAATAAGTGGCCTTTTGGATCCTTGTATGCAAAATCCTAAAAGTGTCACAACATTGACATGAGAAGTTCTGCTAATACTAGCCACCTCGTTCATAAATTCCTCTCCATCACCTTTGGTGTCCTTTAGCATCTTAACTGCTACCTGGCGGCCATCGTAGAGCTGGCCTCTGTATACAGCACCAAATCCACCTTGGCCTATCTTCACAGTAAAGGATTTTGTCATCCTTTTCACATCTGCATAAGTGTATCTTTTTGGATGTAGGTTCCTGTTCTTTTGTAGAAATGACTCAACCCTTGGTTCATCCTTCGATTTGAAGGGCAGCAAACCATCTTTAGAAGCGGAGAAGAATTTGAGAATAACTAGACACAGGAATAGAAGTGACAACGACGTGCCTGCAACAATACCTGCATCACAAATGAATTCAACTGCAAGGCATTCTAAAAATTCAATTTGCAAAGAAAAAATGCACCGTTAGTCAGTGTGGAAACTCATCAGATTATTGCCCAAAAGGAGGATGCAATTTATCTATATTCCTGTCATTGGTTAGTGGATTCCAGATACCTTTTTTTGAGAATTATGGATTCTAAAACATGTCATGCCAATAATTCATTATATGCTTTTCTTCTATTCTTTTAGACAAAATGAAGATGGGTACTGACTATAGGCTGCGTAGTGCTTACCAACAATAATTGCTGTTTTCCGTTTTGGTCCTGTATGCCAACAAACAAAACGCAATGTCAGATTTGAGCAAGATTAAACTAATGCACATCAAACAGAAACACAAAGCACAAATGTATTACAAAAGATAATTTCAGTTTGACTAGATTAATAGAAAAGAATATCAATGTTTGTATCTTCAAATAGTAGGCTTATATAAAAAATATATTCTATGATTAATCTAGTGATACTTATTAGACTCCGTTTGGTAGGAGCTCCTCTTCGGCTCCGGCTCTGGCTCCTTCGGAGGAGCCCTACCAAACAGTTTAATAGAAGTAGTTTGGAGCTGTTTTTCAGTGAAAAAAATAGGAGCCGGAGCTGTTTTGAAGGAGCCATAAATTATGATTCATTAAAACGGCTCCGCCGGGAGGAGCCCTCTCAAATACACTCTTATCACACAACATAAATAGTTTTTTTTATATCAGCATGATCGGAACAGCTTGATGTAACAGTGCTGCGACTGCTATTGCAGCAACCTTACCTACACCTACTGTTGTTTGTAGTAGAAAAAAAATAGCAACAGCCACCACAATTGAGCAGACCATATATATTTTGTCAAATTTGAATTTGTCTGACTCATCGGCAAGCGACATTTTTCTTCTTTTTAGAAAGAGGGAGTACTTAATTAGACAGGTGGGCCCACAAGTTTTACTTAATTTTACCTTGGAATCGGCTATATGCTCATTGAGAAAAATTTCCTTCATAATTGAGGTTCCTTGCAGTGGTGGAAATCTATTCTATAGGGCTTGTTTGGAATGGAGGAATGAAAAATAGAGGAAAGGAAGAAAACACAGGAATAGAAAACGAGTGTAGGTAGAAAAAAGAGGATTGGAAAAACACATGAATTTTATAGGAATTGGTGTTTGGAACACAAGGAATACAAGAACATGTTTATTCCTTCATTCTAGTGAACAAGGGCTTGCTCATCTCTCCATTCACATGTAGGAAAATTTTTCGAGAGCTTAGAGTTGAAGTTTTATTTCCTCCATTTCATGAAGGAAAGCAAGGAAAAGAAAACTTCATTCCTCCATTCCAAACACCATGTGATGTAAGCAAAACGTAGAAATTGGATTCCTTTGAAATTCCTCTAATCCAAACAATGGCATGCCGGTTCAACGGATGTTCTCAGTGCCAAGTCACTTGATTGGCGAAATGATGAAAGCTTGACCTAGTAGTGGATTCGTAATGGGCTGGTGATGAGAGCCTATAAATTTACTAGATTCATTCATGGTGGCCTATGCAAAACCCATATTGTCTTCTATTCTTCTGAAAATTTAAGAGCTTTGAGTCCTTCGTTTTTTTGTTTTGTCAATAGGAAACCTAATCCTAAAACTCATTTTAGTGTGAAGTGAAGCGAAACCTCAATAGAAAGACACACAGGCGTGGTATCGGAAGTCCGATGGAATGGCTGGCTGTGCAGACGGAGCAGATTTTTTGTTTTTAAGACGGAAATAAATCTTTCGGTAGGTTTAATTAAAGCTTACTTGATGCGATATGTTTGCAGTCCGGGTTGCCCACCTTCCCTCCGTGGCACAAGCAGCCCAGCAATTCCCTGTGCTGGCTATAGGTGCATTGCCCGTTCGACGCCTCGCACAGGTGACACCCATCCTCTGTGATACGGCTCCATTCCAACTCGAACCCACGCTTAAGCACGCCCCCGTATCCGCCGCTTGTGAAGTTGCTCTTGTTATAACTTGCTGCCATCAGAACATCGCCTCTCACTGGCACGGCGACAACTATGGTGTTGCCGCACTTCGTAGCCAATTCTTGCTCCAGATACCTGTCATGTTCATCAGTCATAATGACCACGAAGGAGTCTCCTGGGCCAGCACCTGGCGGACTCTTGAACTGCGTGCAGTTGATTTTGTATGCGTCGAATTCAGTCGGCATGGGACCGCGTGGGTCGCAGCCGAAGAGGAAGGTGAGGTTGTCGTTGTAGCTGCTGCTATGCAGCCATGTCTCGTCGAAGCTGACTTCATGGCGGACAGCAGGGCAGTCGCCGCCTGCGCCTCCGAGCACTGGTGACAGACACTGGAAAACAAAGCGCGAGGTGCCGTTGCGCCATCGGATCGGAGCGGTGCTTTCAAGCTATCTATGAGTCTATGACACATCTCTATCGAGAGAGGACGGGTTACTGAGCAGCAGAGCCGGAACTAATTGGACTGACGCGCTTTAAGCTCTGGTTCGTTTCACACCCAGATATTTGATAGTGTCTGTCTGTATTTCTAACGCGACAGTGTTTTCTCCGGACAGAAAAGAAAGCGTTAGCATGCAGGAAACCATGGATTATTAGCAGCGATGTGGTGCGTAATTATGCAGGTAATAAGGTTAATCGCTGCAAGCAACAGATAGTTAACGACGCCTGATTGAATGAATGCACGGTATCGAAGGCTAATAATGGCTCGATCCTTTCTATGACGATTTGGACGACAGAGGCATGGTTATTAGTTTATTACGTTCCGGGCCAAGACAGATCGGAGGAGTCAGCTGATATCTTACTGCAACCGCCGTCACCCACGCGGCCGTCGGCGCAGAGGCAGCCCAGGAACTCGCCGGCGCGGTTGTACCCACACTTGCCGCTGGACTGCTCGCATTGGCCGCACGGACCGGAGCTCCGGTCCCAGCCCAGCTGGAACCCCGCGCGGAGGGCCTTGCCTTACCCGTCGTTCCTCCATGGCTCCACACCGGGTCCTCAGCGACAGCCTTGGACGGGACGGAGCTCTTGAGCACTGGCACTTCGAAAACCTGCCGGCACGCGCTCGACCAGTCGCCGGGAGGCACCTCGCCGCGCGGGAGCACGAACGTCATGGAAGCCGGTTTGTCCATGTCTCCACAGGTGATGGGCTTGATGGTCGGCGGCTTCGGCAGTTTGGGAGCGGGCTCGGCCTCCGTGCCGAAGGAGCAGCCGACGAAGAAGAAGAGGTAGTCGACGCTGTGGAGAATAAGGGACAGCCGGACGGCCGGTGGGATGGTCACGTTGTGGTCCACGACGGGGCATCCGCCGTTGCCCGCGCCCGCGGCGTCCGCGTCGGCGAGCGAGACGATCAGGTTGGCGTAGTCGATGCCCGAGACCGTGTAGTTGTCGTCCCCGAGCTTCAGGACGGCCTTGTTGTTGGCGTCGTCGCAGCTGACGGCGAGGCCCGGGTAGCCGCAGTAGGACTCGCCGTCGTGGTCTGGGACGGCCTTGGCGTCGTCGCTGGCAAGGTAGAACGGGTAGCTGATGTTCACGCCGCCGCAGAGGTACGGCCGCGACCGGCACGCGGAGACGGCGTACGTGTCGTCATCGCCGATCGACGCGACGGCCGCGGCGAGTAGGAGGAGTACGAGGAGGAGGAGGCCTCGGTCGTGGTGGTGGCTCGGGGTCGGGGACGGCATGGCAGGTGGCAGCTCTGTTCAGCTCTCCGGGGTTTCTGGCGCGCGGTTTTGGTTGGCGGACGGCGGGCAGGCGGCAGGCGCAGGCGGCAGGCGGCAGGCTGTTGGATCTTAATCCTATGATACTAAAAAATTCATTTGTTGGAACTGTATAAAATATATGGTTGTGTAGTAGACAGACTTGTGATTTGTGATCTTGTGATTTGTGATTGTCTGGAGGTAGAAAAAGGCTGGAGGCTGGAGGTAGAAGAAGGGTAGAGGCTGTTGGATCTTAATCATATGGTGCTAAAAAATTCATGTGTTGGAACTGCATAAAACACATGGTTGTGTAGTAGACAGAACAGAAATGTTATACAACACGTATGTGTTTTAGCAAAAAAAAAACATGGATTTTTTCTCTCTCCCTCCGTTCTGCTGACGCCGCGCAACGCACGCACACGTCCTTCGATCCCGCCCACTCCGTCGCTATGTCCAAGCGAAGCGATCGAGTCGCCGTCACGCCCCGGCCCCGGCCCCGGCCCCGCCCGCATCGTGCCGCTGGCTGCATCTCGGATGAAGCTGCGCGCGAAGGCGCGGCACCCCCCGCTGCGCATGTTACTGGGTACGGTGGCACGGCACCTGGTACGCGCTCCACCTGGAAACCGGCTCCGCTCGATCGGCGTGGTTTCTCACTACTGTGCTCTGCGTGCGTGGTGCAGCTCGGTCTGTCGCGTGGCCGACCGGACTGCCAACTGTGCCGCGAGCCGGAGTGGGCGGCGGCGGCGGTGGATCCAACTCCAGGTAGGCCTCAACTCTCCTCCTCTACGATCTATGATTTGTTCTTCCATACAAAAAAATTATTTTTTGTGATCTGTGGATCTGTGATCTTGTGATTTGTGATTGTCTGGAGGCCGAAGAAGACTGGAGGCTGGAGGTAGAAGAAGGTTGGAGGCTGTTGGATCTTAATTCTATGGTGTAAAAAAAAATTCATATGTTGAAACTGAATAAAATACATGGTGTATTTTTCTGTCAAGCGAAGTTTTAAGCCGCTTTGGCAGTGGCAAGTGCAGCCAGCGGTGCAGTACCGGCGAAGGTTGGGTGGCTGACACTGACGACGGCAAGGACACAAGGGCACACGGTGCCTTGATGAGGGGCCTGCGCCTGCCTGCTGGTAGTAGCGGACTCGCGAGTCGCGACGTTGCCAGCCTACCGCGCCACACTGCCAGAGTCGCTGCGCTACCTGACCCACCCATGTCCCTATCCCGTGGCGACTCCAGAGCTTGGCTAGTCACTTTTCCAAATTGGCGTCAAAAAGGGAAGAGCTATTGGTCCGCTGGATGCGCCAGCCCTGCTTCTCCGCGAACTCGTGCATCCACTCCTTCTGCGCGGGCGTGAACTTGGTCCGGAACCGCCTCCGCCCGAAGCTGTCGCTGCTGCTGCCCCCGCTACCCCCGACGCTCCTGGGCACGTAACCGACGCCGACGCCAATGCCGAAGTCGTCCGTGCGCGGCGGTGTCTCGGAACCGGCGCGCGTGTCGAGCCATGGGGGCGAGGCGGCGACGGCGGCCTTAGGCACGGCGTGGTACGACAGCGCGAGGTGCGGCGGCGCCAGCACCGGCACCGACGATGGGAACAAGGCCTACAGCGCGGCGGCCGCGGCCTGGTGGAGGTGGTGGTGGTGGAAGTGCTGCTGCGGCGTCGGCGGCCCGAGTGGCGCGGGCAGCGGGAGCGGCGGCGTCGGGCAGAAGAAGACGGGAGGCGCGCACGACGAGCCCGGTGGCGCCAACGCGGCGGCGCCCGAGGCGGCGCGACAGTGGTAGCTGCGGTGGCACCCGCAGGCCGCGCACTTGAGTGAGTCCGACGAGGAGGCCATGTACTTGCCTCAGCCGTCAAAGGCCTGCCCACCCATAGCCACCGCGTGGTTGCGCATGCACTCCTTGTACTTGCCGCCCCCCGCGTCGCCCCCGCCACTGGTGCCATCGTAGGACAGGAAGCAGAAAAAAAGAGAAAGGGGGAGAAGAAGAAGAAAGCGGTAGGGGCAAGAATATTATTTCACTGCTGTTCTCTCTACTCAACCAGCTGCAACCGGTCCACGGTGTCCTGTGGCCTAATTTCACATGAAACAGAGTGTCTTTTGGTAAAATGCTCCAAAAGTGGGTGTCCGCCAGCGAAGGACCATCACTTTGAATATCCAACGGATAATTGTCCCCTTTTTTATTACTACTGGTATTGTGCAGGTGGTTTCTAGAAGGAAGCTGTTTTTTTCCTCCAATTTTCGTTTTGGAATGGTTGTCCTATTCTCCTGCTCATGTTCAACGATGCCGTATGTATGCTACGGCAGAAATGCTTCGGTCAGTGGTTCCTATAGATCGAGTCTATGGGTCTGTTCGCTTCGCTGAAAACTCATGGCTAAAAGTACTATTTGCTAATTTATTGTGAGAGAAAAACATGGTTCCTTCGCTGAAACAGAACGGTTCATAAGACAAGCGAACAGGGCCTATGGCTGTGAACGACGGCTTGAGAAAATTGAGCCGCTTCCTCCTATCACTGTGGCTTCCAGCAGCAGCGGTAGGCATGTGCCGGCGATGGGCTGTAAAAGTAACCCGAAGACCTTGGTTAAGTTCTATTTCATTCCGGCTGACGGCAGCCGTGAAGAAATATAACAGCACGCACGGTCCAAGTTGTGGACGTTCAGGAGAACAGAGCAGTCCACAACAACACATCGCATCCAGATTGGGGGAAGAATCGGTTAGAGTGGCTGGTCCAGGGTCGTGTTCGGGTATTGCTTTTATTCCATTTCCATCCCAGCCTGTTCGCTTGAACTTATCAGCCAGGTTTATCAACTATGGTACAGTGTTTTTCTCTCACAACAAATCAGCTTCAGCCGGTTTGTCAGTCGTAGAAACCATCAGTCGAACTTGAACCTAACTCATGTGGAACATTACAGAGTGGTAAGCGCGAGGGAGCGGCGGCTGCAGGTTTTAGGGTTGGAAGGAAACTGACATGGTTCAAAACTCCATCAGCCACGGTATTGGATCGATTTGCCGTGAAGATGTGAAATAAGGGAACCGGAGCAGAGCAATATGTAACATACTTTTCCGTTCGAGACCGTATCCGGAAGGCCCAAGAGGAAGAAGATGAAGACGACTTAATATATAACAACCTGGTGGCCGGCTTCTGCTGGTGGTCCTGCTAAGGATATGGCTAACATTTCTAGATGGTTCATTGATTTCTACATATGTTTCATCCATTTATTTAGATACATTTCTACACCGTTTATTTTCAAAAACCAATCGAAGTTCTTTGTTCTGGCCAAGCAAGATTTGATTTCATGGTAAATTGTGGAACAAAAACAAGTTTTTTTTCTTATGAAGCTACAACTAGCAGTTCAACTAAAAAGGATGAGAGAGAATTACGGCAAAGCCCTTTATATCGTCTAATAAAAAATAGAGGCAAAACTCTTGTTTTGGACGGCGGGACTGGTGCAAGCGGTAGAGTCTTACTGCCTGTACGAGAAGGTTCCGGGTTCGAGTCGCGGTCTCCTCGCATTGCACATGCGAGGATAAGGCTTGCTACTGACCCCCTTCCCCAGACCCCGCACAGAGCGGGAGCTCTCTGCACTGGGTACGCCCTTTAGTAAAAATTGCGGCAGAACTCTTGTGTCGAAAAAAAAAAACTAGCAGCTACATACGAAGCGGCAAGCTAATTGACCCCCTTAACGATTTGGAACCATGTAAAGAGAAAAGGTAGTACAGCTGTACAAGACAGAAAGGGCTTACCGTTGCTGCATTCATGGTCGCTCACTTGGCCGTTGGTGCACAAGCAACCCGCAAATTCCCCAACTCTGCTGTAGGCACACCCTCCATTGGATCCCTCGCACTTGGTACACAGCTCGGACTTCCTATTCAAGTTCCATCCCAACTGGAAACCCTGGTTAAGAGCGTTGCGGTACCCGTTGGTGCTCCATTGCGAATCGATCGTCAGGGAGGCGTTCTGAAGCACCGGCACTTGGATAACTGGCTTGCACTCCCGTGACAAAGTTTGGTGGGGCACCTCCGAAGGAATCACAAAAGAATAACCATCTACACCAAAACTTGCACATGCGATCGGCTGGATGGTAGGTTGTCCAGGGACAGAGAGATTGTTGATGGAGCAGTTGGCGAAGAAGAAGAGGTAACCAACGGTGTACTCCGACAGGTTCAGCCACAAGGTTGGCGTTGGCGAAACGGTGACGTTGTGGTCGACCCATGGGCAGCTATCATCATCAAGGACATCCGGGTCGGCGAGGGAGATGGTGGAGTTGGAGTAGTCGATGCCCGTCACGTTGTAGGAGTAGCCTGTGTTGCTGCCGCTGCCGAGTTGCATGGTGGGATACTTGTCGTCCATGTCAGCATGTTTACTATTTTTAGTTTGTTAAAGTCATGTAATCCTGATCGTTACTGCATCATGTTTAGTTAGAATGCGTAGAACCACACGCCTGGGTGGAGATGTGCCTAGTCCGGGGTGTGGCCGCGTGAGTCGGGTGAGTTGGTCACCGCCACTGCATGGTCGTCGTGCATGTCGCTCGGCATGGCGCAAGAACCGGATCGAGCAGCGATCGTGTGGTGGCGGGGGACGGCCTCAGGCCATGTATCTGCATCATTTATAAAGGAATAAAAACCTAGAAAAGCTGTTGCGGTTGTGCAGCGCAAACTTGTCTACATTTTCCAGTTCTTCGTGTGTGTGCGTGGTGATTGCGCTCCGGCGTTCACCGGCGTTCCAGCAGCAACAGGAACTCGACGGCCACCGTCGGTTCCAACACGTGGTATCAGAGCCCGGTGTATGTTCTACGGTGGGTCAGTCAGTCCACCGCGAGAACCACCTCGGAAGAAGTTCGTGATCCCGTCCAAGGCGGCGCCGGCGGCGACGATGAGCGAGACGAGCACCTCAGCGGGTCTGGCGGGCGGCGTCCGCGAGAGCTCGTTGATGTGGCCAATGCTCACGCGGACGAACTACTCCGAGTGGGCAATGCTTATGCAATGCAATTTTGAAGCGCTGGAGATCTGGGAGGCCATTGATCCGGGGACGAACGTCAAGCGTTGCAAGGATCGTCAAGCCCTGAGTGCCATGATGCAGTCTGTCCCGAAGGAGATGTGGACGACGCTGGGGAACAAGAAGACCGTCAAGGAGGCGTGGGAGGTGGTCAAGACGATGCGACTCGGTGCCGATCGTGTCAAGGACGTCAACGCCCAGAAGCTGTTGCAAGAATTTGAGAACATCAGCTTCAAAGATGGGGAGACAGTCGACGATTTCAGCATGAGGATAAACAATCTTGTCGCCGACCTCAAGTCCCTGGGAGAGACGGTGGAGGAGACCCGCGTTGTGAAGAAATTCCTTCATGTTGTCCCCGCAAGACTCACTCCAGTTGTGGTTTCGATCGAGATGTTTTGCGATCTGAAAACCATGACAGTGGAGGAGCTCGTGGGGAGACTGCGCGCAGCGGAGGATCGCATGGAGGCGAAGATGGACCCGGTCACCGACAAGATGGGGAGATTGCTCCTAGCAGAGGAAGATTGGATGGCTAAACACAAGATCAAGCCACAATCTCTTCTGTCCAAGGAAGGAAGCAGTGGCGGTGGCGGCGGTGGTCAGTACAAGGGCAAGTCGCCTATGAAGCGTGAGGGGGCGGCGGCGGATGGCGGTCAAGGCACCGTCAAGCTCACGTCGGAGGGCACTCCCGGCGGAAAGGCAGGTGCCATGAATCTGCGGCATCTACGCCATTGGGCGAAGACCGTAAGAAGCCCAAGAAGGAGAGGAAAGCCGAGAAGAAGGAGGAGGCGAACGTGGGCTGTCGTCGATGCTCGGTAAGACCATGTACCTGGCGACGGTGAGCGGCGTCGTGCACACATCATCGACAGGATCCGTGCATCTGGCGGAGGAGAAAGTGGTGCCGGTTCATCTGCGACAATAGTGTGTGGGTCTTTGGACACTAGGGCCAGCAACCACATGCTGGAACGCGGGAAGCACTGACGAAACTGAACGAACAAGTGTCAGGCACTGTTCGATTCGGTGATGGCTCCTGCGTCGAGATCAAGGGAATCGGCTCAATCATCATGGAAGGGCGTGATCAGCAACACAAGGTATTGGCCAATGTGTATTACATTCCTAAACTGCAGAGTAATATCATAAGCCTAGGACAACTAGAAGAGGCTAGTCTTTTGGGTTGAGTAAGGCCCAAGGCCTTATATGTTGTAGCTCCGGTGGACCTGAGACCTGTGGGAGCGCAGGCTCGTGGTAACGAGCCGGGCCGGCTGCAAGCCAGCTCCAAGACCGAGAACTCGGTGGTCACCGCCGGTTCCATCAAGTTTATTGTTGGGGTTTAGTCCCACATCGTGTAGCGATGGTGGGGGAGCACAACATATAAGGCGGGAGAACCCTCACCTATCAGGCTAGTCTTTTGGGTTGAGTAAGGCCCAAGGCCTTATATGTTGTAGCTCCGGTGGACCTGGGACCTGTGGGAGCGCAGGCTCGTAACGAGCCGGGCCGGCTGCAAGCCAGCTCCAAGATCGAGAACTCGGTGGTCACTACCGGTTCCAATAATTGGTATCAGAGCAAGCCAGGGATTAGAACTGGTTCATGCAGATCTGTGTGGAAAGATCAGTCCACCAACCCCTGGTGGCAAGCAGTACTTTCTGTTGGTAGTGGATGACCACAGCAGGTACATGTGGGTGGAGCTTTTGAGGACAAAAGATGAAGCATTTGTTTACTTCAAGAAGATCAAGCAGCAAGCTGAACTTGAACATGGCAAGAAGCTGAAAGGTTTCAGAACGATAGAGGAGGTGAATTCAATTCAACTCAGTTCACTCTATTTTGCAATGAGACAGGGCATCAAGCACTTCACCACCACTCCATATACCCCACAGCAAAATGGAGTGGTTGAGCGTCGAAATCAAACCATAGTTGAGATGGCTAGGTGTCTGTTGAAGTCAAAGGGGATGCCATGTAAATTTTGGGGAGAAGCTGTTGTCACTGCAAAGATATATATCTTGAATCGAGCTCCAACCAAAAGTCTTGAACATGACTCCATTTGAAGCATGGTATGGCAAGAAACCCAGAGTAGATCACATGAGAACTTTTGGGTGCCTAGTACATGTAAAAGCAGGTTGGGGACTGGTATCACAAAATTGTCTGCAGATCCATCAAGATGGTGTTTCTTGGATATGAGTCGAGAACCAAAGGGTACCGAGTGTTTGATCCATTGAACAACCAATTGCATGTGAGCAGGGACGTTGTGTTTGAAGAAAAAGAAAATTGGAATTGGAACTCATCGGTGGAAGCAGATCAAGTTGTAACAGACTCATTCACAGATTGAGTTTCAGCCCACCGATGAAAATCCGACAATAGAGGAACCAAATTATTTCAGAGAATGATGGAGGCGTTGAGCGAGAACCGTAAGGCAGGGCCAAGTGCAGTCTCCTCAAGCATCACCATTAGCTAATTTTGGCTCACCATCAACACCAGTAAACCAAGGTATTGGGTCTGCAGCAGCAGCTATGACCAGACCTGGGTCAAACTCTGCAGGAACTCAAGTTCGTAAGAGGGTCCAGTGAGATCTGTAACCTTGGTGACTTGTTTGACACCAATGATGAGATACATGACTATGAGTATAGTGGGTTGTGCTCATTAGCGGTGATGAACCAGCTAGTGTTGATGAAGCTCTAGAAGAAGATTCTTTGGAAGGATGCAATGAAAGCTGAATCTGCAGTCCATCAATGAGAACAACACTTGGAGACCCGACAAAACTACCAAAAGATCAACATGCCATTGGTCTCAAGTGGGTGTTTAAAGTTAAAAGAGATGCATTTGGAAACATAGTGAAGCACAAGGCTAGACTTGTGGCAAAAGGGTATGTTCAGAAGCAGGGGTGGACTTTGATGAAGTGTTTGCACTGTGGCTAGATTAGAGACAAGTGAGATTGTTACTTGCTCTAGCGACTAATGGTGGATGGGAAGTCCATCACATGGATGTAAAATCAGCATTTCTCAATGGAGATCTGTTGGAGGAGGTGTATGTTCATCAACCACGGGGTTTCAAGATCCAAAGAATGCAGGATGGTGTTGAAGTTGAACAAGGCTCTATATGGGCTAAAGCGGGCTCCAAGGGCATGGAATGCAAAACTTGATTATGAACTAAGCAGACTTGGCTTCAGAAGATGTGAAGATGAGCATGTTGTGTGTACAAGAAGAGAGGGAGGTAATTCTTTCCTCATAGTTGGTGTGTATGTTGATGACTTAATCATTTGTGGGCCCCGACAAAACCAAAATTGTCAATTTCAAGCAACAGATGATGAAGCTTTTCAAAGATATGAGTGACTTGGGCCTACTAAGTTACTACCTTGGTATTGAAGTGCAACAGAGGAATGGTGAAATCACTATATGCCAAAGCGCTTATGCAACCAAGATAGTTGATCGGTGTGGTGCATGTCTGGATGCAACCCAACCCTGACACACCAATGGAACAATGTAAGGCTTGTTTCAGAAGCTGCGCAGACAAGGTGCTTGATGCAACCAGTGCAGGAGTGTAATAGGAAGCTTGAGGTACTTGGTTAACACAAGACCAGACATTGCTTTTTGCAAGAGGGGTGGCAAGGTGTTCATGGCGTCACCAAATAGTGAGCACCTGGTCTGTGGTCAAGAGAATTGTCGATATGTGTCGGGGACAATTGGCTATGGCTGCAAATTCACCAAAGGGGAGAAGGAGGTCTGAACTTATTGGGATACATGACGGTGACCATGGTGGTGATCGATCAAGAGAAGGAGCACCCAGTGGCATGACTTTCTTCCTTGGTAGAAATTTGGTGACATGGTCTTTCACAGAAGCAAAAGGTTGTCGCATTGTCAACTTTGTGTTTGAGTATGTAGCTGCTTGTGGGGGTGCTTGTCGGGAGTTTGGCTCGATGGGCTAATTGCTGAATTGATGGGAAGAGATGTTCGAAATTCAGGCTTCTTGTGGACAACAAATCAGCTATTGAGTTGAGCAAGAATCCAGTCTTTCATGAAAAGAGCAAACATATTGACACTCGTTTCCATTACATCGAGAGAATGTGTGAGCAATGGCCAGCTAGATGTTGAATATGTTCGACCCGAAAATCAGCCGGGTGATATCTTGACAAAAGCATTGCCCAGGATCAGGTTTGTGGAGTCTGCGACGAAACTTGGCATCATCAAGTTAGATCAGGATTAAGGGGTGATTTGTCAGCATGTTTACTATTTTAGTTTGTTAAAGTCATGTAATCCTCGATCGTTATTGCATCATGTTTAGTTAGAACGCGTAGAACCACACGCTGGGTGGAGATGTGCCTAGTCCGGGGTGTGGCCGCGTGAGTCGGGTGAGTTGGTCACCGCCATCGCATGGTCGTCGTGCATGTCGCTTCGGCATGGCGCAAGAACCGGATCGAGCAGCGATCGTGTGGTGGCGGGGACGGCCTCGAGCCATGTATCTCGCATCATTTATAAAGGAATAAAAACCTAGAAAAGCTGTTGCGGTTGTGCAGCGCAAACTTGTCTACATTTTCCAGTTCTTCGTGTGTGTGCGTGGTGATTGCGCTCCGGCATTCACCGGCGTTCCAGCAGCAACAGGAACTCGACGGCCACCGTCGGTTCCAACAGTCCACACAGTCGATGGCCAGCCCAGGGTACCCGCAGGAGGAGGAGTTGTTACCCAGGACATCTGTCGTCTGGCCGGAAAGATAGAACGGGTAGCTGATATTCACTTTGCCGCATGTGTATGGTTGCAGCTGGCATATGGAGGGGTTGTAGTCGAAGCCGGAAGGATCGCCACGGGAAGCGGCAAACAAGACGGCAAGGAGGAGCGGAAGCCGCGGCATATGGTGGCGTAGCAGGAGACCCGCCATGGCCTCTGGCGGGTAAAGCTGTTTGCTCAACTCCCAAGCGGTTTGTGTTTGTTGCTTCACGCTGGCCCCTCCTTATGAACAACACCCGGGGATTCTGTTTGTGTGCTTCTGCTGCACACCAGATGTGCCAAGCGATGAGGAAAAGAAGTTAAGGGCCGTTTTGTCGCAGAGCCGTCCAAATTATAAAAGCGCAAGTACAATAGCAGTTCGCAAGTGGTCACACTATCATACTTGAGCCCGTATAAACCCGTTAGTCCATCGAGTACCACGAAGGGTCTCGATTAACCGTCAACATACAACCAAGATCGTACATGATTCAACAGACATGTCACATGTTACATCAGTTCACAAATACAACATCATATATTAGAGTATGATTAAGAGTTATTACAAACCATGTTCAAATAAAATAGTCGCGGAAGCAGTTAAGTTTGAAAACCAACACCTCACATCATTGTTCCAATACAGTGCCAGTCCATGATCACAACCAGAAAAGCATGATAGAGGGAATTAACGAGAGACGCCTTGCCCAGGGCCCTACTCCTCGCCCACGGCGGGACAGAAGCAGTTCTTACAGTAGCCATGATAGACTGTACCATCTGCAACAAGTAAGAAATAAACCCTGAGTACGAGAAGGTACTCAGCTAGACCTACCCGTCATAAACAAAAAAGAAAGTGACTCCAAGGATCATGCAAGACTTTATAAGTGGAGCTAGCTTGACAACATTTTGCATGAAAAGCTACTAATTCAGTTATACATTTATAATTCGGTCATCAAGTTAATTATAGTTATTCATCTCTAGATTAGCAACTAACATGTGCCAAACATGTGGTATATCATTTAGTAGCATACAGTAGTAACCATAGCCGGTGTAAAAGTTCCAAGTTCACCATAAACATCATTCTATAATCCAGTTACTACGATGTTGGAGCTAGCCAAGTTTCTCACTGTCCG